TTTCCATTTCCCCCCCCGGATATGAGAAACACTGGTTTGTTCAAAACATGGATGCTTTTTAAGCCAGGATCAGAGCCATAGTTGGATGAAACAGTTTGTTATAAATCACAAACGGATGCTTAAAATATTCCCACACATATGTGGGTGGATGGGAAGGAAACAGTGCTTCATCCCAAGGCCCACCAATTTCAGCACATTCTCATAACAACTGTGCATAGTTGATTTTTGTCAGAGTCTTACATGTGTGTGCAAGTGTATGGTTAATGTAACCCTCCTGAGGTTGGTGGACTACAACTCCCATCATCCCTGACCATTGGCTGGAATTGTTGGGAGTCAGGAGTTCAACAACATCTGGAAGGCTAGTAGTTGGCCACCCCTGATTTATATACAGTGAAAAATGTAGGAAAATGCTGAAGTTTAAAAACATAAGAAGCACAACACACAGACAGAAAAGGTATGTGGTATAGTCCTTCTGGTTATGTATCTTTTCAGAATGCAAGTAGGAAACTGAATATTTCAGTGTTACCCCACGTAAAGAAACCCTGCAAGTAGAAATATTCAAGAATAAGGCTGGACTACAACTCTCCTTGAGACCTAGATTTTCCACAGGCAGGGATGCTGCTCTTATGCTTCGATTGACCTTAAGAACTTTAACCAAAGCAGAGCTACTTAAGTAATAATCTCTCCAGTTTCTCCATTAGGATATCCTCCTATTGAATTCTCTGTATGGAAGCCTCATACTTACTTTAATTTATACAGACACGATGTATTTCTCGTAATTCAGATGCAAATGACTTTGAAGTCAAATGTATTAAAGATTGAACAGCTTACCTTCATAGTTGCCATATTAAGACAAATCTTACATGGTTTACTTTTAGAGCCTAAGCACCTTTTTGGAACCCTTGCTTAGAAACTGCATCACAATGAATTTGACAGGTTGTGAGCTTAGAACAGAGTTACAGTGGTGCCTCGCAAGACAAAATTAATCCGTTCCTCGAGTCTCTTCGTCTTGCGGTTTTTTCGTCTTGCGAAGCATGGCTATTAGCGGCTTAGCGGCTATTAACGGCTTAGCGGCTTAGTGGCTTTAAGAAAAAGGAAACAAACTCGCAAGAACTCGCAAGACGTTTCGTCTTGCGAAGCAAGCCCATAGGGAAATTCGTCTTGCGGAACGACTCAAAAAACGGAAAACCCTTTCGTCTAGCGAGTTTTTCATCTTGCGAGGCATTCGTCTTGCGGGGCACCACTGTATCTCAGACCTGGGAGCCCAAGCAGCCCCTACAGTCCTCGCTCCCTGGCCATGGGAACTCTCCCCAGCTCTCACTCCTCCTGCTTTGCCTAGCAGGAACATGTGCTTGAACTTCGATAATGCCTCTTTCTTTTCTGGATGCAGGATGTAGAGGAGGTTGAGGTAAAATTAACCTTTGATGAAATTTACCTTTGTTGCTCCTTCCACTTCTATCTCTGGCCCTGCACACCACTGGCGTGTTGCTCGGAAGAGCTGCAAAAGTTCCCCCGTCCCTGACGTAGAGTATATTCAGTGGAGTGCACCTCCAGGGGTGAAGTTAAATCACTGCAATAGCAGGACTGAAGTGACCTCCCTAGGGCACAAGCCTGGGCTGCCCAGAAAACAAGACACCCCCCCTCGGCGTTGCTGATATGGTCCAAAGGAAGACAGAGCAATACATTTGGCCTAAGCAGTGATGAAAATGTTGGCTGATTCAGTAGTCTCGGGGGGGGGGGGAGAGCAGTTTTAAAAATCAGAATCTTCTGCAGCATAGTGAATGCCAGAATATTTTAAAAGTTCAATTTCCCCCAATAAGCTTTTAATGCATAGATTGATAAATTCACACTGCAGTTGATCAGAAGATACGCTTTCTGCTGTTCATGTATTGGATACACACTGAAGTTGACATAGAACTTAAGTGTTTCAGAATTGCCTTAGGTTCTGATTGGACGAGGTCTGAGAATTCTAACTTTTTTGCACTCAGTTTGAATGGAGAGATCCTAATTTGATGTGAGTTCTGCGGCATATTTGTCCCAGTACTCAGAAAAGTTACACAGCTTTTTGCCAAGTAAAACACACCATTGCTTACATGGATAACTTAATGAAAACCAACCAAATTATATAAGGAATAATTGGCGGTTTCAGACTGAACCATTTTTCTTGCTCCTTTTGGAACTGGTGTTCCAATATAAGTTGGCTTCTAGGTGGACACCTTCCAAAATATTCCCTGCGATAGTCAGATGTCCATGATAAACACAGATTTTAGTGCCACAGCATCTGTGCCATTTTATATAAAGTACAGGACAGCTTTTGAAACCAGACAAAATATGTAACATCTTGTAACTGGGCAGCCCAAATTAACTGAAAGGGTCTCTTGTACTGTGTTCTTGGCTTTCTGAAACTCTGCAAGCTGAAAACACAGATTGACAACAATATTTCACAGTAATGTGTGCTGGGCAGGTTTACCAATAGCAGTTCTTTTGAAGGGAAAGGAAACTATATTAGAATACTTTGTCTTACTGACTAAACTTATTGCGGAGGTGGGTTAGATCTGCATGTTGCTCCATGCAACTCTGGAGCCAACACATTGTATTTTAGACTGAAAACTTGTATCAATCTTTGTTTTATATATTGCGAGATCATCTCCATTTCTTTTAATAATCTAGTTTGTATTTTCCGCATGTTGGCCAGCTGTTTTCTTTTTATACATGCCTCCATGCTAGATGTTAGCAAAATTGCTAGGCCACCACTGGCTTTTGTTCTCCTGCAGTGGTTTTTCCTACTCTTCCAAACACTAAAGAAACTTGAATTTAAATAATTTTGATTTTTACTGCTTGTTCTTTAAACACTTGTCCCATTCTCATCTTTAAAGTAAAGGCTGCTGATGGTAGCCTGGAAGTGCAAGGTGTGTTCTTCATTCCTGACAAGGTAACTGTACCTTGCTTCCATTGCTTAAATACAGTTGAACTTAAATTTTGAAAAGGGATGTGGAAACTTAACGGAAGTAGCCATCCTTCTGCACTTGCATAGTGTTTTGTTTCAAGGGAATGTTCCAACTGGTTACTAGGGATCATAACATTTGACGCTTTTATCATGTTGGGAATAGCAGCAAGATAGATGTGTATATGGGAATAGCTGAAATATGAATAGGCTACAGAATGCATGTGTGGAGTGGATTAAATTAGGACCAGTGTGAGGTGTGTACTATCCATTTTCTGATGCATGAATGGTCAGAGTATGGCTGGTTGCTTAGTCTAGTCAATCTTTCCAAGAACAGTCATGCTCACCTGTCCTCATGGTTTCTGTCTTTATCATGGGTAATAAATTGCATATTGTTCATAGATCAACCGATAATAGTTCTTGTAGTAAAAGATGGAGGGATGCTCCTCAGTGAGCATGTGACAGTACTCTTTGGTTAAATACAATCAGCCTTTTTGCTTGTATACAGAATAGTCATTTTGATGGAAAATCTCTACAGTGCAATCGTATGCATGCATACTCAGAGGTAAGCCCCACTGCGTTCAAAGGGGCTTACTCCCAAGTCAGTAAATATAGGACTGATACCTTAGTATTGATGTGGAAGTTTTAATTTTACAATGTGATATATTGATTCTTCCAAATTTTGACCAACATAAGTTATCTAGGGGTGTGAATCAGTGTTGCCATTGTTTTCATTGCTTTAGGAAGATTGAGCATTAATGGGGAAAGCAGTGTTGGTAGTACAGTTTAGGCCCGAAGTTCTTACCAGAAAAAGACTCTTTGTACTCTAGAGCTGCCGCTTTCCTATGAGAGACCATTATTTCAATCCCAAAAGTTCAAAAATCATTAGCTGCAGAGTAATGCGTGTCTGAAGAACCATTTTCAATATTTCACCATTTTTCTCAAAACCAGATAAGTTGCAAAAGCATCAATAGTACCTGGTTTTTGTTTGTTTTTCAGTCTTTTAATATTTAACTGCCTTTAAAAGTAAAGAACAGCAAAGCAGTTTGTGGAAGATTTTGAGTAAATTTGTTCTGGAGGTTGAGAAAGTTGTTCTCATTATTAAATACAAAAATAACTTCTGTTAATACCTCACGTAAATGAGGCAATGCTGAGGTACTAATAAAGGCAGTGGCACTGAAGAGTTGCAGAGTGAATTTCTGTGTACAGTACCTGCATTCTATGTTGAGTAAAATCAAATGGACCTTCCTGAAGTAACACTATACAGAGCAGCTTTACTAAATATTACCGCAGCAAATAAATGTCCTTTGTACTATGTATTTATGTAAATTGGGTGCTAATAAATACTATTTTTCAACATCTTTGTGTGTGTTCTAAATGTATATTACAGTTTATGGAACCTCTCCAAAAATACAAGCCATAGGGTGAAAAAAGCCTCTTTATATGTCATCATTTGCTCCACAGACTTTATGAATTACATTTTACCAGAGGTAACCATGTTGGTCCACTGGAAAAGAAAAAAATCAAAAGCTGCCGTAGGGCAATTATTTCTTTGAATTCTTGTTTTTGTTTGTTTTTATGTTATTTTTATTTTATTGTTATGTTGTACACCACTTAGATTTTTTAAAACATTAAGCAGTTTATAAGCACTTTTAAATTTAAAAACCCTTTTAATCACTATCAAACAGAATATCTTAAAGTAGTAAGTATTTGAATTCTCCAGAACTCTTAATTAAGTTGGGTATTTGGCAGAACAAGGGAGTATTCTTTTTTTTTAAAAAAAAAGTTATGCAGCATGCGTTAAGCAGGCTAAATTAATTAAGGATCTGCTAAATGCAAAACAGATTGCAGTTTGCATTGAGGGCTGCTGGATGAAAGTGTCAAAATGGTGGTTCTCCCTTAAAAAAACACATGTTCTGCCTTGTCACAAGAGAAAACTGTGTGGTGTAATAAGTAGACACTTCCATTCTCTTGGAATTAACTGCTAAAGTGGAAAATACTGATGTTTGTAACTTGCCTGAGCCATCAACAAATAATGATAGCACATAGGAATATCTTGGGTTGTTCTATATTGCACTTTAATACTGAAGTGAATAGGATATTTCACACAGATTATGAAGTACAAATAATTTCTATTAGCCCTTTCCCTAATGCTTCATGCATGTGGACCATAAATACTGCAAGTAAACAAAGTACTGCTGAGAGTAAACACATATGAAGGCACTTTCATACACTGCACCACGTTAAGGCCCATGAAAACATGTTGGGGTTGAATCCTGGCACACAAATAAGTTTGAGAATATGCTATTGGAATGCAGCCCCTAAACTCAGTGCAGGCTTGTTCAGCCATTACTTTAATCCCACTGTAAAACTTTCAGCACTAATGCAATGTAGAATAACTCGGTGGTCCATCTAGTCAGAATTATAAGGCTATTTAAGAATGGACCAGTCCGGATGTTTGAGGAGGGTCCAAGCTTGGAGTGGAACACATGCTTGACTTACTGAAAGTCCCCCTCCCATTTAGGATTTCCAGTAGTATTGCTGCGAAAGACCCTGGCGGCAACCCTGGAGAGCCAGACTGAGCAACATGAACCAATGGATCTGATGCAGCACAAGACAGCTTCTTATGTTCACAATCCTAGGAAGCAAAAAGGGTCTACTCATGCCTTCTTTACAAGGGAAAAAGTCCATACGCAGGCCTTAGTTTCAGAAGTTAGGGGGGGGGAGGTTTATTGGGTTTGTGTAAGCTTTCTTTGTCCTCCAAAGCAAATGAGATCTAGCACACCCTTTTTGTAACTTTTATTGCAAAAGGGTACAGCAAGTTATTTTTTAAAAAGCTCTTTAATGTAGGTGCATGTGCAGAGAGGGGAAAGTTAAAATAATATTTACAAACTCATGTTTCATCCACAAATCCTTTGCAAATGTTTGCATTCAGCTGCATTCTTTGCACTTGTCTTCATTGCAGAAGATGCGGAGAAATACCGTGTGTAAACTGACTTTTTCAGGGAGGCGAGGCAAATGATGATGATGAGATAAAGTTCTAAGTCCTAATGACGATTTAAAAATAAATCTCCAAGCCTGGATGGTGTAGACACCCAAGAGTTCTTAAAATAACTCAGATGCGATATTGCTGCTCTTATGTAAGAGGCCTCTGTACCTGAGAGCTGGGAAATAGGCAACACAGCACCACTTGGGGGGGAGGAAATCCAGGAATTTACAAGCCAAAAAACCTAACATCTGTTCTAGGAAAACTGATGAAAGATACAACTAGCAGATACACAATTGGTAGGGAACCTTGGACCCTTCAGCTGTCGCTGAGCTTCATCACCCATCAACCCCAACCAGCATAGTCAATACTCAAGGCTGACCATGTGGCTGTAGTCCATATGCAAAGCCAAATGCGCCTCAATACTGATATTTTGACTCACAACAAATCCTTTAAAGGCTGAGTCCTGTCAACAAGCACATAGGTGTGATCCACTAGACAGAAAGCACCACAGTTGCCATATTTCAAAAAGTAAAATTTCTGGCACCTGCAAAGGTGTTGAGCTTTTTTCAGGAAGACCCCAAAATGGTTGGGCTTTTGGGGGAGAAACCTCCCCCCCCCAAAAAATAGTCATTTTAAGCTTTTGGAGCTGCGGTGCATAAACACCTGGGTTTTCTCTGGCATTATGCTGGCAAAATTCCCCCCGATGCCATTTTTACACCCCAAAACCTGGATATGTCAGGAATTTTCCTGACATATGGGAAGCCTAGTGAATACTCAAGACTTTTTAAAAGATCATAAGACCACTCTCCAAAGGCTCCTGAGTAAACATAGCAGTCATGGGGTAAGAGAACAAGCTCTCTTGTGGATCAGCAGCTGATTAAAAAACAGGAAGCAGAGAGCAGGAATAAACATCTATTTGACATCTTATGCAACACACCAAAGGCCCACTTTGCTGATAAAACTATTCTTGGGCCTGAGTGCTAATAGCTGTATATTAAAATCAAAGAGAATTGACAGGGTCCGTTGCTTGTGACAGCAGTTGTAAAATCAGCAGAGGATATTTGATGCTGGTGTCCAGTGATAAATACTCTGGCTTATGGGATATAGAATAAATAATAGATTGCCACTTTTGCTTTTTGTAATGCATCACAGCACCAACCCTAGAAGCATCTGTAAAAACTGCAGATTCGCTCTTAGGCTGAGGCTTGATTTTAGAATCTGAAGAGATGGAAGGAATATGATGTCACTGAACTAGGCATGTCGGAAGCTGCTCTCTGGGCTCATTTATGAAGACAGGAAGGAAACTGGTAGGAACCATATATATAATTTACTGCCTTGCTCTTTTGGTGCCAGGTTACAGACTCTGTCTGCCTGGCCTGCATTGCAACTAACTTCAGTTGAACGTTCTGTGATGTGTAATTAAACAATCTGTAAGCTTCAATTTTCCCCAAACTATTCTTTCAACACTTGTGCTATTATGCCCAACAAAGCAATTGTGGACAGCTGGTGTGAGTGCCATACTCCATCTTTGTTGATACTGATTCCCCGCCCCCCCCCTGAACCAAATCCTGATCTGCCCTGCTTGTTGTAGTCTCTTGTCCTTTGCTTGCTTCCTGTCCTCATGTGTCTGCCAACAACTCTTAATTAAAGGCCGGGTTCCAAAGCGCCATGTAATATTTTAAAGCCAGCTGTTGGTTAGCCATTCTGCATCACTGGAGAGTTGAAATGGGGTGGTACCCAACAAATGCCATCTCTGGCATGCCCACTAAGTCCAGTGCATCTGGGTTACAGCCTTAGACCTATTAGTCTCCTATTCTATGTGGAAGTTAACTCCAAACTATAGATTTGAGTCAAGTGAGTTATCTAACCAAGGACTGTAGCCAGCTCCTCTACGGAATCAGTTTTGAAACCAGCAAGGGTGGGGGGAAGGAGATTGATCAGTCTACGCCCATTATTGCCATGCATGGAGAATAGAGCTGACATTGGCTCTTAGCCACAAATGCCTTTGAGCCTCCTGGCTGGCACTGCTTGCCAAACATTTTCTCATGTAGTGATGCAGTGTTTCCTGGAGCCTGCTGCTGATTTCAGTTCCGTGGTTGCGAATTAAACTCGGTACAAATATTCTGGATGATCCTAGGAACAAATCTGTAGAGGCTGTCAAACTCGTCCACAAAGAAGGAGTGTTCTTTGTCGGGGTCAGTAGCAATGGCTTCCAGCTCGTCTTGGGCAGCCCATGCAATTCCTACTGAATAGGCTATGACTCCTGAAGTGAGAAACATGAGTACATAATGAGGTTAATGCCTTATCTGAAACAATGCATTCAAAGTAATATTCTAATAAGGGCCCAAAAATATTATCAGAAGTGGTGAGGTGTTTAAACTTAAATAAATGAGGCATTCCAATCCCCAGACTTGTTGTTCCCCATTCCATATTGTCTTGTTGAATGACTCATACATGTCCTTCCTGTGTTTCAAAAATTGAAGGGCTTGAATTGAATATACAAATACACTACTTTTTTTTAAATTATACCAAACTTGGACTTCTGGCTTGCAAAACTTAGATGCCATATTCTAGATCCAGAGCCCCATTGTTTGGGTGCTTTATGCAAAGCTTTTTTTAAAAATAAATGAGGGGTTCTGGCGTAGATGGGCCTTGGTCTGATGGAACAGGACTCTTCTGTTCTTCAGTGCTTTCCAGATGTTGTGGGACTCCAAATCCCATCACCTCCAGCCAGTATAAGCTATGGTTGGGAATGATGGGAGCTGTAGTTCTGTGCAATCTGGAGGGCTACAGGTTGCCTACCCTTAAAATAGGTGTTTATAGGGTTTTCTGGCTTACCATTCTGATGTGCCGCTGCAGCCGGCCCCCGGACATCATCGTATGATCTGCCATCTGTAATAAGAATCATTATCTTCCTCTTGTTTGGTTTGGATTTGCTGAAGAGCTGTTCAAAGGCATAGTTGATGGCTGCTCCGGTGCTGGTTCCTCCGCTCCAATAGTTGATTCTCTTGATAGCGTTTAGGACATCCTGCTTCGTTCTGTGCTTGTCGAAGCCAAACTCCAGCCTCTGTTCGTAGGTGTACTGCACAGCTCCAATGCGGGTGTCTGTATCGGAAATCTCAAATTCCTTGCTGATGTTAGCGACAAACTGGAGGAGGGTGCGGAAGTTGCCAGTGCCAACGCTGCTGGACCCGTCAATGACAAATCCAATATCCGCTGCATTCAGACAGGTCTTGCTGCATGCCAGGCGATCAGAGTCACAGACTCGCTTCACTAACTGCTGCACTACTTTGTGTAAGCTGAACCAACTGGGCACATTGATGGAATAGTACCCATTGGTCCTGCACACAGCCTGAAAGAGAGAAAACAAAAGCAATGAATTTCAAGAGCAGTTACAGCAAAATTCATGGAGGCAACGTATTACTGTCAGTCATTGATTTCACCTTACGACGGCTCTGTCCCTATGTATGAAACGTTTTTATGAGACAAACTGGTATTGCATCAAACTGGTAGAAAACACAGCTGAATAATACCCGCCCTTATCGTTTCTTAGATGTTGAGGTCTACATCCAGCTTAAAGGCAGCTAAATGGTAGACTGTTGTGTTTATACTTGCTACTCGAGTACCTGCCACATTGCAAAACTAGCATCTGAATTGACTCTACTTCTGTCAACAGGCTTAACATTCATTGCAGGCGTGTTTGCTCTCATGTCTTAAAGTTATTTCCATTTTCTAAGATACAGCTACCATTAAGTCACTATGTATGAACACAGGGCTTCTTGCCTCATTCTACTTTTCCAGTCTGGCAAGTGCACAGAGGCTTACTGTGGCTCTTCCCCATTCAAACCTAAAGGAAATCAAGACCATCAGCCAGTCCAATTCAGTCTGGAGGCTTCCCAGGTTGAAGGCATTAAGGGGCTTTGAAGTTCATAGGAAATGTATTTCATGGCACAGACACAGTGGAAAGTGCACAAAATTATCTGAAAGGGTGTCCAGAGGGAGGGGGGAAAAGATGTATTCTGAAGGACAGTTCTCAAAGTCCACTTTGCTTCCTGAACTTGGGCTCATTTGCCAACCTTCCAGGAAAGACTACGTACATGCCAGACTAACACCACTCAGTTGAAGAGGCATTTTGTCATGAGTACCTGACCTATACTACATAGCTTGTGAGAATGAGTTCTAACTGAAGTGTGTCCAGAACTTTTGTGTGTTTTGGAGGAAAACTGGAGGCAAGAGTACACAGCGTTCAGTAAACATGATCTAACACTACACAACTTGATTGAGGCTTTGAAGTGAGTTGATTGCTTGAGTCTTGCAGTCTCGCTGAACCTTCATAATCTGCCCTGTGTGACTCCACTGAAGAACTAAGCGTACATAGATGCATCCTGTTTATAACGAGGATCTTGTAAAACTTTGCCGTATTGAGTCTTGATATGGTGACTATTGTAGCATGTGAATATTTCAAAGAGAGAACTATATAGCTATAGCTGGACATTGTTGGAACAGAGTGGTAGCCAGTTTGCTCACTCATACTTGTGCGTTTTTGGCCAGGCAAGGATGTCTCACTTTTATATTGACTCGCCTACATGTGATGAAGAGTTCAGACCCCACCTTTCATCAGAATCAAGAAATCTTGCCTCTTTCTTGATGGATCCCAATGTACCCCTTACCTTGTCCACAAAGTTTGTTTCAATAACATTCTGCTTTTCATTTTCATCTGGTCCTTCAATGGTGACAAAGAAAATGTTGATGCCGGATTCCCTTGCCAGCCGAGAGGCCTCTTCCACTTTATCTGTAGGCCACCCATCCACCATCACTATAGCAACGTTGGGTGCACTACCTCTGTTCCCATTAGCATCCTCAAAGAAGTTTTTGTTAACAAAGGACAGTGCTCTCCCTGCATGAAGATTGGGTGAGGGGGAGTAAGAGTTGTAACTTGCTGAGCAAAACAATGAAAAGGAACGTTAAAATCTCTTAGAACCTGAGCTCCTTGCCATTTATATGATTGTTTTGCCTATTATTGTCTATAACTAACAACAGAAACTATAAAATTGAGGACAGGAGCAACAACAATTTGAGGATTCTCTCAAATCATCAGTGGCCCAGTTACAGGCAACAATGCACATTCAATCTAAGTCACTGGTTGAGGATACATTTTTCTATCCACATGGAAATTGACATATATGCCCCCACCAGAGCCATGTGATGTCAGAGGGTTGCCTCACATCCAAATGTGCATAACAAAGCTGATGCAAATCTCATTTGTGCATTCACATCCCACATCTGCATGCGACCCCTCGTCCAATAACGGAACCTGCCGTGGAATCTTCTTGTATGTATGTGTCTTCCTTCCTTCCTTGCTTGCTTGGTCAAATGTGTCTCTAACTTCTGCCTGATATGTTTTAAAAGCCGAAAGAGGGAATAGATTTGCAATAAGGGATTCTGAACTAAAGTCAGTGCTTTTTTCTGGGGGGGGGGACAGGGGTACGCATACCCCTAAACATTTTGTGAATCTAAGTTTGGCCTCATTGAGAGGCAGTATTTCAATATGAGTAGGAAAATGGTAGTACCCCTAAACATTTTTTTAGAAAAAAAAGCACTGACTAAGGTATTGGATATTTTACTTTCTGTTTGGGACTCTATGGTGGTTGGTGTCTCACCAATGTGCTATATTTGCACTGTGAAAGGGACAAGCTATTCAGAGAAAAATTTCAGATATTAAATCCTGATTCTCTGGAAGACAAAGTATTTTCCAAATTAAGGGAAGAGGAACCAGAAATGAGTGAGGACAGTTTGTGGTCTTGACCTCAATCTGCCTAGAACATCTAGCATACCAACATCTTTTGATTCTTAAACTGATTAGCTGTGGATGTATTGTACAGGATACATACCAACATTGGACAATCCTCCTTTCTGTAGTATTTTCTCTATGGCATTTTGCAGATCCTTAGAGTTTGTATAGGTCTTCAAGTTAAATTCAGTTGAAGGGTCATCACTATTTGTAAAATGAAAATGGAGCAGTTTCGTTTTGTGTTATCCCCGGGAAAATAAGTTCATACACAATATGGCATTAACTCTTAACACATTAATGATACCAGTTGTAATTTATAGTAATTTCGCATGAATATTTCCTGTGTTTTCATAGAAATGTGTAAACATGTCATATGTGAAACTTACATTTGTGGCTGCTTTTAAAAAATCAATTATTTGACAAAAAAATGTTTGTAGGTGGGGCAACTGCCCTTGATGGGTGAGGGGTGAGGAACCTGCGGTCTCCCCAAGTGTTGTTGGACTGACATAATCCCTGAAGTATGGGCTATTAGAGAGGTTCTCAAATGGTGGTCTACACACTCCATTCAAGTGATCTGCAGAAAGGTTGTGGAACAATCAAGAATCTCTATACTTGGAAATCTTTTTCTGACAATGGAGATTAAGACCGGATTTTGACCATGGTTGGATATATCAAATAAGCTAACAAGGTCCTAACTTAAGATATATGATTTTTATGATGCAGTGCTGGTGCAGTCTAGCAATGTGAGATACATCTCTGTAGAACAAAAAAAAAAGTGTATTAAGTAGTTTGCCACAAGAAGTTCCTGTGGTGTTGCCACAGACATGGAGATGGATGTTAGGCAGCACAGATGTTATGAAAATACATCATACTCTCTTACCCATACTGGATGATGCCCATAAGAGGACCAGCTGGGCCCACATCCAGGGCTTGAGCAACATTTTTGAGGAACTGTTTTTGGATCTGAAAGCGGCGCTTGCCAATGCTCCAGCTGCCATCTATCAAGAAGGATAAATCAACTTTGCAATCTGAAAAAAGAATAGATTACAGTTAACTTTGGAGTTCCTTTTGCATATATTTTGTGTTTTTCCTGCATGACTACAAAAACACACCTCAAACCATGATAAGAGAGCACGTACTCAATCATTCACAGAATTTACCAAAGATTACAAAGCTTCACTTGACATAGATAACAATAACCCTATTCGGCAAGTAGAGAAGAACTAGTGTTTCTGTTTCTGTTCAGAAAGAATTCTGTTTCTGTAAATGTTCCATCCACAGAGCTGGGGAAACTTCGGATTGTTTAATCTACTTTTCTCCCCCCCCCCCCCCCAATTTTTACCAACCAGAATTTAGTATAAAGATATGCACATGAACATGGTGCCTTGGAGCACAGTCTGAGCTTTGAAATGTGTTTTTATTACCAGAACTGAACCAAGTTTACAGTTCTTAAACCTAAAAGTTCTCTTGTCCACTTACTTCATTTCAGCAGGCTAATCTAGGTGGGAAAGTTGTTTGGCTGTTGCTATGGTTTGACAATCAGAAGTCAGAAACCCTTAATGATCTACTGCAGACTGCATCCATATCTAACAATGGTTCCCAATCTGCCAAGGTTGCAGGTTTGATCCCTATATGGGACAACTGCAATATTCCTGCATTGCAAGGGGTTGGGCTAGATGATCCTCAGGGTCCCTTCCAACTCTATAATTTTATGATTCTTCCTTCCTTCTACTTCTGCTATCTCAGCTGATACAGGCCACCTTGAAATCTCACAGGCCTATGAAAGGAAAGCTTAGCTCAGAAGGCACTTTCAGGAGTCCCCACATACACTAAGGATACAGTCGTATTATGCACACTTACCTGGGACTAAATCCCATTTGAACCTAATGAGGCCAACTTCTCAGAAGATGTATAATGGGGTTGAGCTCCATGTGGGCTATTTGAATACATCAGGAGCAGTCATATTCAAATCATGTCATTAAATGATTGTGGAAGATTTGACAACTTTGCAAGACTTGGACTTCAGAGGCACTTTAGACAAGCAGTTATTTATATGTGACTCATGCGGACTGAACTACTTCAGGATGGTGGTGTGAGGTTGAGCAAACCCAAACTAATAAACAACATTTTCCTTGCGCCTATAAGATGAGCATATTGTGAGTTAGCGACAGTAGAATTTTCTCCTCTCTGCTAATTTTCTATATGCACTGTGTTTTATAGGAAGGAGCATTCAACTATTCTACCCCCCTCTCACCAAGTCTGAAGTGGTACAGTCCAGCAGCAGTCTTACCACATGAAAGTTTTACCACACTTTCCTTCCTGCATTTTAGTGTGCATTGTGGTTGTATTCTCCATTCCTGCATTCTGATTTGTATAGCTATTTTTTTAAAAAAAAAAACAACCCACCCCCCCAACACATACACAAAAAGTGTTCTTTAATTAGTGCTGGAACAAAAATCTCCTTCTTTATTGAAGTGGGGATTGCTATTTTGCCAGACATGGAAGTAATTCAAAGAATGATAATCTCCTTTGTGGCTTTCAGATCTGCCTCTCCAGTCTGGATATTTAAAAACTTGATTGTAGTCTTTTAAATGCACGTGTCCTCACTCATCTTGCTATTTTGGCTCGCAGAACAGTAGACAAACACCCAAAGCTAAAGCAACCTCTTCTCTCTATTTTTTTTTAGTAACCAAATTTATTCATTCTGACCTGCAAGGAGTGTCTTCAAGAAATAGCAGCCTATTCTTCTTTTGCTCTAAGCTGCTGAGAAAATACTCATTCCTTGAAAGGGATCAACATTTGGATGAGCTTAAATGGCAATTAATGGTTTTTGTTCCTAGTCAGGCTTCTTGTATGGTTTTCTTTGAAACTGCTCCCACCAAGACAGGTGTGCCAATAAAGGTATATTTCACTGAAGAGGTGCCAGGCTTGTAAAGATTCCCCATGCCCTTTACAAAACCCTTTGTGAGTGATCTTGTTCCGAGTGTGTTCCAACTTCCTTACTCCGAATCAGGATTTGTACTGTGTGCTGAGATTGTTCCTGGCTCCTGCATGGCATTCTTTCATTACAAGATTGGCTCCAGAAGCATAAACCCCTGACAAAATCAAGCAATTATTTGCGGAGAACTGTGATAAAACCTGGTGAGGCAGATACACCCGCCTTGCTATTTTAGGAGGAAAATTAGCACTTTCCTGCAGCTATTTAAAGGTGATTCATAAATTTTGTAGCCATACAAAAGATTGATATTGATGGCATTAAGAGCAAGAATTAGGAGGGCAAGTTTTGTGAATGAAATTAATGCTTCTGGGGCAGGGAGAGAGGAGAACAGGATGCTGGACCATTGGTATGATGGAGAACTCAGTTCTGGCACCTCTCAGGTGGATGCCATTGCCATTCTAAGACAATGAGGGAGGAATTCATAGTGAGTTCCAGCACCTCTCTTTCTAGTAAAATGGCACTGTTCTTATGATACCCTTGCATTCTGATTTGCCTTGCATCCACGCTTCCCTACACCAGGTAGCTTTCTCTCCAATTGTGTTTGTACTTTAAGACAGGAATGGGGAATCTGCGGCCCTCCAGATGCTGAACTCCAAATCGCATCAGCTCCAACCAGCATAATAAATGTTCATGGATACTGGAACTGCAGTCCAACAACATAGCAGTTCAACCCCTAAGTTAGCATAAAGCATCACTTTAAATAGAATTCTATATTGGGTCAGAAAAAAGAAACCTTACTGTATAATCAGATATATATAATGACTGCTCAGGAGCCCCTGATGGTTTTACCATGGCAACAGACCAAGGATAGGGGACCAGTGATCCTCTAGATCAGGGGTCAACAAACTTTTTCAGCGGGGGGCCGGCGGACTATATTTTTTTTTGGGGGGAGACAACGAATTCCTATGCTCCACAAATAACCCAGAGATGCATTTTAAATAAAAGGACACATTCTACTCATGTAAAAACACCAGGCAGGCCCCACAAATAACCCAGAGATGCATTTTAAATAAAAGGACACATTCTACTCATGTACAAAACACGCTGATTCCCGGACTGTCCACGGGCCAGATTTAGAAAGCGATTGGGCCGGATCTGGCCCCCGGGCCTTAGTTTGCCTACCTATGCTCCAGGACTAAAACCCTCTAGCTAAAAGGGTGGGTTGCCCGTTGAGCATGCTGTCTGGGGCTGAAAGGAGTGACAGCTTGGGCTGCTTCACTGAATTTTTAGGCAAACTTTTGCAGCTCTTGCAAATGTGTGCCTCAAACATCCAGTTTATATTATCTTGAAAATCACAACTAGGTTAAACAGCAGCTCAGTCCGCAGCAGTAAAAACCAATAACTAGTCCTGGGTGATTTCTCTTCAGCTAACTTAGGAATGGATTCAGCAAAAATTAAGCTCATTAGCAAAATGTGGATTCCACTGCAACCCGGATGACATCTTTGAACCCTGATACATCCATTCTTTCCCTTCCCCCAGAAATCACAATGGGGAAGCCTTCTAAGAAGGCTCTCCCTTCCTCCCAATGGCTAAAGCTTTGAAAGGGCAGACTCTCAGGTGCCAATACTTGGCTGGTGCACATACTTGGGTTTCCCTGTGAAACTGGTTCCAGGGGTTTGGGGACCACATCTTCCTTGGAACTGAAACCTGGAATGATCAATAATGACACAGTCGGTTATTAAATGCAAAGGATATGAAATGATGACATCATCATATTTTTGAGGGCCTTCTCAATAGTGGAGCCCTCCCTGTGGAAAACCTCCCTTTCAAATGTCAAGGAAACAAACAACCATTTGACTTTTAGAAGACATCTGAAGGCAGCCCTGTATTGGGAAGTTTGATGTTTGATGTTTTAGTATGTTCTCACATGTGCTGTGAACCACCCAGAGTGGCTGAGGAAACCCAACCAGATGGGCAGGGTATAAATAATAATGTACCACATACATCTGAGATATAGTGGTAGCTACTAGCTTTTTTGACTTCAGAATTCATGGATGTTAGGCTGTTATATGTGTGGTTGATTCACCTACTGATTAAACTTCACAGCCCTACTTGCTGATATAAGAGGTGGGATAATTACATGAGCCATGAGGAAACATAGAAAGGAGTTCTTGTCTCGCCACAATGAACTGTAAATTCTTGTCTCGCCACAATGAACTGTATAAATTATCACCAGGTATTCTTGCACTTTGGGGCATACCACAAAATGGGGCTAACAAGGGGCATACCACAAAATGGGGCATACCACAAAATGGGGCTAACAAGGCTCTGTTCCGCACATTAGACTGTGTTTATGCACTGTGTCATCCTACATGGAATTTACCCCACAACAATTTCATTTTGAAACATGAACAACATGGTCCATGTGGTGTTTATCTTTATTTGAACTTTACACCTCTAGAAAGCTGAAAATTAGATCAGCAGTAGGAAATCTTCACCTCACAGTATGGCTTGGCTCAATCCGTGGCCTTTACCCTCCCCATCCATCACCAGGTGTCATGGACAGGTAAATTCACAAGATAAAACTGAAAAGAAAGCACTGAGAGTGTGCTCTAGCTGCACTCCTTTTCGTGGCTGGTCTGGTGCTTTTTGAATTTGGTGCCGATTCACAGCTGGAAAAGAGTCAGGAGAGCATTCTCATTCTGACTTTGCAGCCGCAGCCATTGTTTGAGTTTAAGCTGAGGCTGTAGAGGGAGGTCTTTCCTTTGCAGCCTGGCTTTCAGGCCACTGCTTGAGTGCAATTAGATAATTATATAGTTCTTTTTAATAAAAATGCCACCCATCATGTATCACTGAGAAAAGGCAATACATTGAAAAGGCAGCCCTTTCTAGTGAGCCCTTCTAGGTTCCCAGGCTGGCTTGAAGACTGTATTGTCAATCCTTCGAATTGTCAGTCCTGGGAATATTCCCTCACTCTGCCTTGGTGCTTCACTGCAAGCCAATTAAGCTTTTTCACCACTGAGTTGTCACAGCTGTCCAGGCTCATTAAATCTCCACTCAGGCAATACTTGTCACATACAAACTAAAAATAATTCTCTTTGAAGTGATAATCAGCATGCATCAAACTTAATCACTGAGCTAATTTTTTATTATATTCTGGTCCCTTGGAAAATTTTCCTTTTCTCACCTCAAGCTGTGTGATGAATAATCTTGCCTGCAAATAGGTATCCAGACATCCACCTGAACATTTAGAGTGTTTTTACTTTCTGTTGATGGTAATCTCTTAACATCCTGATACATGTGCTGAGATTCAACTTGGAAATGTAAACCTTTTGGCTGTTGTGACCTGTGTATATGGATGCATTGCCTATTGAAGCCCATCCTCGCACTACAACTCTCCCACTTAAGCAAACAAGAAAGGGCAAAGCATAGCTAAAACATTATGGAATAGGACTAAGGGTGTGTTCACAAGCACATGTACTCAGTAACTGCAACATAATGGACTTACACAACCTGCAAGATTCATGTGATGAATCTGCTTTTGGGCGGATTAAGTTAAAATCCCTTTCTCTTTCATGTATGGCAGGATCCTCCATAACGTTGACCCCTCATCTGCAGATTCATCATTGGAACCTCACGTTTCAGCTGTGACTCTCTGCTTTCTGATTTTTAGAAAGGCTTCATTTAATAGCACACACATGCAGACCTAAGTATGAAAACAAATTGCCTCTCTTGCCATAGCTTAATATAGGCCTCTCCTGGTATGCCCCGTGGAGGACCTTACGGTCCACAAACAATAATACTTTGGAGGTCCTGGGCCTCAAGGAAGTTAGACTGGCCTTGACCAGGGCCAGAGCCTTTTCAGCCCTGGCCCCAGTCTGGTGGAATGCTTTGTCGCAAGAGACCAGGGACATGCGGTATTTGACATCTTTCCGCAGGGCCTGCAAGATGGAGCTGTTCCGCCAGGCCTTTGGTCTGGGCCCAGTCTGACTCCCTTCTTTCTATAGGACCCTGTATGTAAGTGGCCTCCTTGGCTCTTTCTATATGGGACCAGCACGAGTGGCTGGGCCTGGTGAGCTTTTAATTCCTTACCCCTATGGTTATGATTCGTGGGTTCCCACTTAATTTTATTTTGATTTTAAATGTGATTCAAATTGTATTTTAAACTAATTGTTTTGAATGTATGGCCTCGGCTGAGGAGGGTAATAATAATAATAATAATAATAATAATAATAATAATAATAAATGCAATTTTCTTTTCCTACATTCCATTTGCTCCTGTCAGGGCTTGTCCACCCTTTCCTCCACACTTTCCAGGCATGGTCCATACTTTAAAGCTCCATGTCTGAGTGGCTCTGTTTTTTGCTCTGGAGCTTTCCCCGCAAAAACCCACTCCTCACCATTGGATTGGCACAAATACCAATCCATTGGAAACCCAAACTGAATTGCAAAAGAAAGAGTGCTTGGACACATAGCTTTGAAGTGCAGACCTGTGCCTTGAAAGCCCAGGCCAAAAAGTAAGTGTGGATTCGCCCAATTCATACTCAGGATAGCCACCGTTTACAACATTTCTGTGGAAGTTTATAATGTGTGTGATGATCATACAGGTAGATTTCTTGCATATAGCATGCAAATGCTTCTCATGTAAAAAGGGCCTTGTAATTTCTTCCTAAAGCAGCAAGTGGGGGAGCTTCTAGTCTGTGGACTTAATTAGGTCTTGCAATTAGGGGTGCTAATTTGGCCTGTGAGGCTGTTCCTCCCAAGCCACGCCCACCTACATCTGGTGTGAGGCAGGTAAAGATGCAGCTCCAATCAAAAGCCTTAAAATGACAGAGTTGGTGATTAGAAAACATTGCATAATACTACCTGTGTCAAAAAGGCTTGATCCCAGTTTCCACAAGTCTGTTTCTATAGCTTCCACACACAAGAGGGAAAAACAGTAATTACTTAAAAGTAAAAGAAGCAAAAGCAAACCACTAACCCAAACCAACCTGAAGTTAACAGAACAAATGCTGTTCCTTTAGGCGAGACCCTTTGTAAAATCAAGTATATGTGAGAATAAGCAGAAGTATATATAAGAAGCAGAATAAATAGAGCATGACATGGATATGATAGATCCTTCCTTAAGTAAAATATTAAGTTAAGAGACATTCTGTGCCAGAAACAAATGAATTATTTTTTAGTTTTGACATGAACTTTTGGGGAGGGTACTTATGTGGCTTTCTTCATACTGTTTGTTCCAACAATAAAAAAGTGACAAGCCATCTCTTTCCTGGGTATTTGGCTTGTCCCATTTCTTTTAATAATTGTTTCTCAAAGAAGGGGCTGATGCACTATGGAAATTGCCTTTTGTGTTGTTGTTTTTTGTCAGCCTTAATCTCCAGTGTTTGGGCAGATACTGTGATGTGAGACGGGTGATTTGTGCTCATAATGCTATTGGGGCAGTCATATGTGACCTCCTTTTCAATACTGAATGCATCTGCAAAGGTTTTTTTCTTCTTCTTTATTTCCAATAACCGCATATCCTGCAACTTCCTGATGAAATCCCATAACTTTTTAAACCAGAAATGTTCTGATTTATTTTTGCTTTTAGCTTTTATTGCAATACGGCCCTTCTAGATAGCAATAATGTCATAGATAGCTTTGGGAAACGCTGCAGAACAAACCAAAGCAGGCTAAACCCACTACTAATGCACTATGATCATGTCAAGAATATGTTGCAGTACAGATCTGCAATGAAACACCAGGCCCTTACGAACAATACTTTAATCAAGACTAAAGTTTATTCTGCATATATAGGAAACTGCCTGAAAGGAAGCAAATTGTTGCTTGGTATCATGAGCTCCAGACATAGGGAACTGGATGTAAAAGAATACTCAGATGACTCAAGCACTGCTCTGTTGAAAACAATAGATTTTTTGCATACGAGGTGAGAGGAAGTAGTGCTTCTGGTTCAGACTAACAAGCCCAGAGAAATCTAGGTGACAAATCCTGTCAAAATCTGCCTTGGTTTATGGGGAAGCTTACCCAGATTGGCAGGAGAGGTGGAAGGCTTCCGGAATGAGACAATTGGCTCTTGCCGTTGAAGACCTGTGTGGTTTGTCAAAAGGGTCAACTTTAATACACAGAGGCATAATTCTAGTGAGTCTATTTCATTACCTAAGAACCACCAGTTTTAAAATGGGGGTACTATTAATAGGGACTTCCCTGTACGTCAAGACAGTTTAGCTTCAGCAAATTTTAATAGTATGGGCACTCTGCTCCTCAGCATTTACAGCCTGAAATGCTATCATAATGTCACAAGGAAGTCAATTGACGTCTCCTGGGCTTGGGTTGCAATCTATACATGATTTAATCAGGTCGGTCCTGTTCACTTTATTAGAACTGCTCTGGTGATGTAAATGGGTTATGGATTTCAACTCCTACAAAATAACTTGACTCAAGTAGTTTGAACTTTAGAGGATAACCAGCAGATCACTACAGGCCAGTGGGTATAGGGTGGTATATAAATTCAATACGTAATAACAATACAGAAATGCTTCAAAATCAAAATGGCTGCAATCCAGCCAAATCTTTTTATTTTAAATCCCAGCGATTTCACAGGGAGAGTCGAGCATGTGTTTCAATATCTTCTACTGAAATAACAGGGAATTAAAATTCTTAACTTGGGCTAAATTGTATCCAGGATTTGTAGGTAACTCAGGGAAACTTACTTCCAAGAGAACCTCTTTAAGAGTGGGCTCTGGTTGCTGCTTTTTATAACCAGAAAACATTTTTAAAATCATATGAAGGTTTTACCTGTATTAGGTCGAGCGATATTTCTGCTACTTGCATGGCTGGAACTGCCTCTGAATGCTTTAAAAATATTTTACTGGTCAACACATAAACTTGAACATAAATTGTAATTAGTAAATATGATTACTTTAAACTAAACTTAGCTTAAATGAAGAAAATATATATTCATTTAAGTTAGGACATACCTTGATTCTGGGTTCTTCCTTGTACAGCTTGAACCTGCCCTAAAATATGCATTAAAACAGAAAATGTTATTTGCAGTTCCCAAAACTATTTTTAAAAGACATTTCTTTTTAAAAGTGATAATTTTATAGCTGCAGGAGGTAAGAGACTCTTGTCCTAATCCTTTAGTTTTTAACATAGAAGCACACAGGTCATCTAGTCTAACCGCTTGCAATGTAAGAATCTTTTGCCCAACGTGAGACTCAAACCCATAATAGTAATAATAGTAATAGTAATAATAAATTATTTCTACCCCGCCCATCTGGCTGGCTTTCCCCAGCCACTCTGGGTGGCTTCCAACAAATGGTTAAAAATACATTAAAACATCAATCATTAAAAATTTCCCTAAGCAGGGCTACCTTCAGATGTCTTCTAAATGTCATATAGTTGTTTATTTCTTTGACATTTGGTAGGAGGGCATTCCACAGGGTGGGCACCAGTACGGAGAAGGCCCTCCGCCTGGTTCCCTGTAACTTCACTTCTCAAAGTGAGGGAACCGCCAGAAGGCCCTTGCACTGGACCTCAGTGTCCAGGTAGAACGATGGGGGTGGAGACATTCCTTCAGGTATACTGGGCTGAGGCTGTTTAGGGCAGGCATAGGCAAACTCGGCCCTCCAGCTGTTTGGGGACTACAATTCCCACCATCCCTGACCACTGGTCCTGTGAGCTAGGAATCATGGGAGTGGTAGTCCCAAAACATCTAGAGGGCCGAGTTTGCCTATGCCTAGTTTAAAGCTTTAAAGGTCAGCACCAACACTTTGAATTGTGTTCAGAACCCATAACCCTGAGATTAAGATTCTTAGGCTCTACCAACTGACATTAAATATAGGATTTATGAAACAATAATTACAGAGAGAGAGAGATATTACTTAGCAGGAATGGGGAACTTGTGCCCCTCCAGATGTTTGACTCCAACTCCCATCAGTCCCAGCAAGTGTGGCTTAATAGCAGCTGGAGTCCAACAGCACATGGAAGTCCAAAAAAGTTCCCCACCCCTGTTATGTAGAGACGGGTCTAGTCACAAGAAAGATTCCAACTAGGGGAACAGTCATTATCTTTTTCCAGGGAACCTTGGGAACTGTAGTTCTATGGCATGGATGGAAGGTATGGAGAACATCTTATAAAACAGGGATAATTTAAGCTAAGCTACTTTTTCCTTAGTGAAAGAGATAAAACAATGGCCGTAAAGACATTCCCATGGTGTGTAATCAGACATAATCCCACTGATTTCCATGGGCTTCCTAGGATTGCAGTCCTGGTATGACAGTGCACTGCTTCTGTACTTACTTGATGCTACAGCTGCTACTGAGGAATAAGCTGGATGGACGTTGCTAGAACCTAATAATAATAATAATAATAATAATAATAATAATTTTATTTATACCCCACCCATCTGGCTGGGTTTCCCCAGCCACTCTGGGAGGCTTCCAACAAAATATTAAAATATAATACTCCGTTAAACATTAAAAGCTTCCCTAAACAATTCCCTAAGAACAAACCAGAGAAACCCTCACTAAAGCAAATGGAAAAGGAGAAAAATCAGTATGCAAAACAGAGAATGAGACGATGGAAAACAAATGGGAAAAGTGCACTGTTCTTTGAAGATGCTGATCCTTCTTTAAATTGTAAGAGTAAGAGCAGAGGATGGGGAGGGGATGAACATCAATGCACAGGAACCAGAGCAGCAAGACCCATTACCAGAGCCAGAGGGACCCCTGTCCCCATGAACGCGGCGGGCTCTGAGGTGTAGGGAGCAGCGGGAGTGGTTCTCTAGAACAGTGTTCCCCAACCTTGGGCCTCCAGCTGTTTTTGGACTACAATTCCCATCATCCTTGACCCACTGGTCTTGCTAGCGAGGGATGATGGGAGTTGTAGTCCAAAAACAGCTGGAGGCCCAAGGTTGGGGAGCACTGCTCTAGAAGGCTGAGACAGGCAAGGGCCCATCGTCCAGCTCCCTAGTTGGCCAGGTGGGGCTCACTAGCTCTGGGAGGAGGGGGTGTGATTGCTCAGCTGGAGTAGGCTTGGGTCACCTGCCTCATCAAGCCCAGATGCTGCAATCAGCATGGAAATTACAAAAGGGAAGCAGAGCTGAGGGGCTGTTTTTTCTCAGCTGCCCATGTTGATGGACCTTGATTTGGGTATTTCTGGACCGCCACAGGACTGAGCTTCAGGTTTGACTCTGTATTGTATCCTGACTACTAGACTTTGGACTTGGCTTGACCATGAACCTTGTTTCCTGACCTTTGGATTTTGGACTTTGCTTGTGTGAGCTGACCCTCAGACATTGAACTTGGCATACTGACTTGCTGCCTGGTATGGCCACCCAACTGTCGACTATACTGACATCCCATGCTACGGCATCAGGTAAATTATAAATCCAATCCTTTGCAGCCTTTGCTTGACTTCAGAGTTTTATGAATTCACAACGTGGCTTGAACACACTCCAGAGCCTTCCTTTTGAATTTAGCTGTGCTGAGATTTTACTTGTCACACTACAAGTGACAGCTTGGGGAGGCCTAACTAGACCCACAGGTTGAAGTTTCTTCACTCCTGTTATAGCACAAACACATTGTTAAGCCACTATGACCTCTGCCATTCTGCTCACCTATGTCCCTGACCTTGTGAATCGCAACCGGAGGCTTTGTAGCTACACCAGTAGTTGCCTGGATAGTGATGGTTGTCATGATTGTAGTTGGGATTGTTGCTGGCTTTGGAGTTGTGCTGACAAATTCGGTTGTCCTGATAGCAGCTTTTGCTGTTGTAAATGCACCTTGTGTAGTTTGTAATGGCACTGCAGTTGTCCGATACTCTTTCCGTTGTGAACCTCCTATATTAATATAGAAATATAGTGAATTAATATCAAAGAAAATGCTATCTGCCATTTGCAGAGATGCAGAACTATAGGTGCTGTGAATTTAGTGTCAGCCGCGCATTCTTTGGGGTGCTTGTGTGGTGGTTGCTACCAGCTTTATTGGACACTTGGCATGGTGTTGCTGAGTCTCATATGGCAGCCTTTGCTCCCAGTCCCTATAAGCTCTGAGAGGGGAATAGGGCCTCTTAATAACTCTCAGCACACTTAACAAATTTGAGGACTCTGGATTCTTAGGGGAAAACCATGACTACTTAAAGCAGTAAGATGCTGCTTTACATGTATAGTGCAGGTGGAGCTGTATATGGAAGAACACAACACACACACACACACACACACACACACACACACACTCCCAGCAGAAAATCTTACACTTGCCTTTAACAGGTGTGTTTGAGGAAGATGAATATTCAAGTGTTGATGGGTACTGCACACCTTTTTTGGGTTTGCCCTCTGTGGAAAACAAAGAAACAAAAACAAACCAGAAAAGCCAAATCGGAGAGAGTACATGACCTTGCAATAAAGCAAACACATTTTAATACAGTAGATCTACAGCACATATCTAATGCAGTATAAGATATACATATTTAGCATAATAAAGGTAAAGGTACCCCTGCCCGTATGGGCCAGTCTTGACAGACTCTGGGTTGTCCGCCCATCTCACTCAAGAGGCTGGGGGCCAGCGCTGTCCGGAGACACTTCCGGGTCACGTGGCCAGCGTGACATCGCTGCTCTGGCGAGCCAGAGCCACACACGGAAACGCCGTTTACCTTCCCGCTAGTAAGCGGTCCCTATTTATCTACTTGCACCCGGGGGTGCTTTCGAACTGCTAGGTTGGCAGGCGCTGGGACCGAGCAACGGGAGCGCACCCCGCCGCGGGGATTCGAACCGCCGACCTTTCGATCGGCAAGCCCTAGGCGCTGAGGCTTTTACCCACAGCGCCACCCGCGTCCCATTTAGCATAATATAAGTTCTTAAATCAGCCTTCAGGTAATTAGACCTTTGCAATTTCCACCAGGGCTTTCAATTATTCACCGCAAGATCTGCCACGCCAGCTGCTCTGTGGTACAAAAGAACATGTGGGTGGCCTAGTACCTTTTATGTGTAAAACCGCTTTAATATTAAAGAACAAGCAACTTCACATTGCTTTGCCATTCATGTCTCCTGAGGTGGTGGTGGTGGTTGTTTGCAAGGGTAACATAACAAAACTCACTCCACTGAACTAACCAAGATTTATGTCATGGATGCAAGTAAAACACTACATCACAAAAAAACCCATGCCTCTAGGTGGTTCCCCTTATCTACCACATACATAATTTTTAATCAAGTTCCATTTCATTACAGATTGTTATTAGAGCCCATGATTTACCATGATAATAGTGAAAGAATTCAATGTGTGTGTAAGCTACATTTAAGTTCACATTTAAACCGCATATGGGAGATCGTGACAGTTATAGTCTGGTACAAACCATAAACCTTTCATTGTGCCACATTATATGTTACCTCTCTTGACATTTCCCACATCAAACTACATTATAAAGCAACATTTCTAGAAACGGTAAATGTTTTTAACATTTACAGTGGTAAGTAAATGTCTTAAGAACTTTTATAGCAACAAGCAATTATATGCCAGACCTAGCCAGACATGTAGATGTGTTTAAATCACTATTGTTAATTTTAACTATTTTTAAATCTGTTTTAACTGAATTTTCTTACAATTTTAATCTCTCATGTATACTGCTTAGATGTTTTACTGCAATCAAGTGGTATGTAAATTTTGTTAAATAATTAAATGATTAAATAATTAAATAAAATATACCCAATAGGAGTAAATCCCACTGAACTCAATGTGGCTTACATCTGAGTAGGCATGTATAGGACTGCACTATCAAGCTCCTTAATTTCAATGGGCTTAAATATACACAACTCTGAAATTCAGGCTGATGTGTGATAAAACTGCAACATGCCCAAGACTAAGTATGTAATTAATCAAACAAACAGAGGGAGTGAATTAGATTGGCTTGCCATGTAGCATCTAGTCCTTGGTTTTTTGTTTTAATCCTAAATGTGTAAATACATTCTTTTTAAAGAAACAATTGGCAATATAGTTAGTTTTGATCATTTTTTCAAATGAATACTTTAATTGCTGCATGGAAAACTAAGATGAATATAATGTCCATAACTCCCCCAAAGTCATCCAGAACAGATTGCGTTACTTTAGCAGGGAGCGCTCATTGATCTGAATGGAGTCATTCCTTTGCACATAAGCCAGCACATTTCAATACTCTGAAAGTGAGTACCAGCCAATTTGCATACCTCCTAGTGTGCTCATCATTTGAATCCTGTGAACTTGCCTCTCTTCTTCACGGTTCACAATATCCTGCTTCCTAGCTTGGCTTCCTAGCCCTAATTCTTTGTTTTCTATGGGTCTTTGTACAGATCCTGATTGGCCAAGCTGGCAAATCCCACACTCCTAATTGTTTGCTAAGTGGAAACACGCTGCCAGTATGGCTTTTGTTTTAAACTTTGAAATGCCACTATTTTTGGCTTGTAGACAATGAGCTCAGTTGCAATGGATGCGGCTCAACTGCTCAAGCTTAGCTTGGCTTGCTATTTAGATGTCACTCACAGATGACTTATTGCAATTTTTGTATTTGCAGTGGGAATTACTGAGTAGAGGGGAAGAATTTCAAGTGATTCAGACTGGTTTCAATCTCTGGCTTGCCTGAATTACTTGAAAGAATACCCCAAAGCAAAATTATTCCAGATAACCCCTGCACATTTAAACCACATCTGCATTATACATTTAAAACCCTATTATACTACTGATAACAGTCATGACTGCCCCCAAACAATCCTGGGGACTATAGTTAAGGATACTGAGACTTTCCCATCATAGAGCTATGTTTCCAGAATGTTGTGTATCAACATTTCAGTATCAATAATCAGATCATCTGATTTTTAGTTTTCAAAGTATGGCAGTGCCAAAACCAAAGAGATTATCTACAAAAATACCTGAAACAATGAAGGACTCCCGCCACCGTGGTAAAGACAACGATCGGATGCCATTGGAGAAACTACCCTTGTAGCCAGATTGTCCAGCAACCTTTTGAACCAGGATTTTCCCTCCAGACTTGTCAATTGTACCACTGCAAAAATAAGGCATTCAGTTCAGAAACACCCTCGAATGCTGAATGGCTTTTGAATGGCAAGCCTAACCCACACAGGTGCAGAATTCCAGGTGCCTTACACATTTTCTCCAGACTTCCCTCAGAACTGGACTTGTTCTAACCCAACAGATAGTTGTGTGTGTGCTTTTGTGCTTTCTGGTGCTCATTAACTCCACAGTGCAGCGCTAAAGCCATTTGGCAAGCTACTTTATAATTACAGGACTAAGGATAATTCTTAGGTGGAATGTACCTAGTCTAAACCTCTGATGTGAATCACTTCCACGTGCTTAATCTACCCTGATGCGCAAGAAAAAGATTTCAGAGTTTCCAAATTAAGATCAACGAGTTCTACCCACAGCACATACCGACCAACCAAGGCCCAAACATGGAATCCATCACTGTGGTTCCATTGTTTGACTGGCTCCTGTGATGTTTGCCAATGCAGCTCCTTCCACCAACCGTAGTTTACATGGGGCTGCTTCTGAAGGCAGTTTAGAAAATTCAGCTGGTGCAGAATCCAGCAGGTTGCTCACCGCAGCAAGACAGTTTGAGCATATTACAACAATCCTGGCCTGCCTGCACTAGTAGCCAGTTAGCTTCCAGGCTCAATTCAAAGTGCTGGTTTTGACCTATTGAGGCATCAGGCATAAGCCTGCATTTTATTAATGTTTGATCAGGGCTTGTATATTAAAGAGAGAGCTTAAAAATTTTCAAATGTTTCATGCCAGGCAGAGAAAACCTTGGCCATTCTCCTAAGACAAGGGGCCCCCCCTTGATTTATAGCAGAAAACAATTCTCAAAGTCATAAAAGCTGGAATTACAGACTAAAAGCAGGACATTGACCCTACATGTTACAGAAGATAAAAAAGGCAGAGATAAACATAATTAGGAATGGGTAAATAGTAAAATGATACCATGGGCCTCTCTTAAACCTTGAGCTGTATTTTCTAAGGCCAGAGGCAAATGGGGAGAAGCATCTAGCTGACAGAAAAAGAGAGCATTTTTAGGAAATCTTCTAAAAACTGTTTCTTTCTTAAACTGAGAGAAAAGGCAACTGGCTTGGCTGGGGAAAAAGAAGCTTCTTCCTATTTTATTTTGAGGCTGGAAAGGAGGGTGAAAGGGGGGGTGTAAACTAAAGAGGCTTCTTTAAAAACTGTTTTTTACTGAGTTCCTTCCTTTCTACTTTGAGAAGCTTTATTCTTTTAAAAGGTTACCTATGATAATGTATGAAATATATTAGCTTAAATATATTGGTTTAAATGTAACTATGCAAAGGATTTAGAAAGTAACAAATTTAGATGTTAGATTCTTATTTCATAGAATCATAGAGTCCTAGAGTTGGAATAGACCACAGGGGCCATTGAGCCCAGCCCCCTGCCAGACAAGAGACGCCAATTGAGCGCTCATGACAAATAGCTGTCAGACATTTGTTTAGAAACCTTCAAATGAAGTAGATCTTTCAATGTTGATGTGAAACTCAAGATCCTTGACATATGTTTAAGATAAAAATTTAAGATTAACCATTTGTTTTAGAAGGCAATAGGGCAAGGAGGGCAAGAGGTGAGCTGGTAATTAAGATTCCATGTAAGATATATTATTACTTATTTGTCATTTATATATAGCTCTTTGTCTCCCTTATAAGGATAGAAGGAAATGGGTGTATCTTTTAGGATTGGTTATAGCAATCAGCCAATAGGAAATCCAACCAGGCTGATTGGACAGAGGCAGCCCAAGGAGGAGCAAAGGGGGCTGGATTAAGGGAATATAAGTGCTGGCCATAATGGCAGGAGGCCAGGCCAGAGCTTGGTAACCATATACCACTGTGCCTCTCATTTATTTGTCTGACAAATAAATTATTATTTTAATTTCTCTATTGCTGCGTTGAATATTTCATTCCAGCTAAGCGTTAACCACAAGCAGGGTGCTACACTATAAAATCTTAAATGGCTCAGGACCACAATACCTCAAGGACCTCGCCCATATGAACAGAGCCAGAACCTGCAATCTTCATCTGAGGCCGTTCTATGTCAGGCCCCTCCATGAGGTCCAGAGGGTGACAACACAAGAACCACCCTTTTCTGGAGTGGCTTCCCTCTTCTGGAACGCTCCCCCCAGGGTGTTCACCTGGTGCCTTCATTATATATCTTTAGGCATCAAGCAAAAATATTTTTCTACAACCAGACCTTTGCCTGATTAAACAATCTGTGGCCTTTTAAATGTGTTTTTGGAACAGGGTTTGATTTTGATTTTTCATTTGGTTTGTGTTGATTCATGTGTTGATTTGTAATTTTATGTTGTGAACTGCCCTGGATAAAGGGCGGTATACAAATGTAAATAATAATAATAATAATAATAATAATAATAACAATAATAGTTTTGCATTTAAACTTTTCCAGTTTTACAGAAATTCCTCTTAAAGTAATAAATGAGATAAATTGATGAAAGGTAAAGCTAAAGTTTGTCTGAGGGAGAAGCAAGACTGATGTTCATGCCAGTATTCAACCTAAAGGTATGCACACCTTTTGTGAGAAAACCATGCTCATCCTGCGGCTGTGAGCTCCCTACAGAGTGCTTGCTGTTACCCCTAAAAGGTTGTTAGCCCAAAATAAATGTGCTATAATATATACCTATATTATCTATCAAGTGCAGCAAAGTTAAAGGGAGAGAAGGGATTATTAATTTCAAGCAACTGTGGAACTACTAAGCTTGTAGAGTTACTCACTCACACCTTGTGAGTTTCTACCACTGAAGCTACAATCATATTTCCCTGTGGTTCTGTGCCCTGTCTTAGATTGAAGGGCAACCCTGCTGACCTGTGAATAGCAGCGCCACATATACTGGAAAAAGAAGCATAGATATCGGTGCCGTAGACACGATATTTGACATCCTGACATCCAGAGGGACACTTAGCGATAAATTCAGGGTTGATGATCTTTGCAGCTTTGATGTCACAGTCGATCTGAGGAACATCTGTGAAGGCACAAATGGAATGTTATTTTTAATATTGGTGCTCTTGGTAGCATTGAAACCATGCAGTTAACACAGAAGTGTTATGTCAGCAGCTGCTTGTTCATATACACTTAATGCCATTTTTGTTTTTAGTACGCAAGTGGTGTACATTTTTAGGCAAAGAAGAGTAAGTCATTGAGAGCCAGTGTGGTGTAGTGGTTAAGAGCGGTAGACTCGTAATCTGGTGAACCGGTTCATGTCTCTGCTCCTCCACATGCAGCTGCTGGGTGACCTTGGGCTAGTCACACTTCTTTGAAGTCTCTCAGTCCCACTCACCTCACAGAGTGTTGTGGGGAAGGAAGGGAAAGGAGAATGTTAGCCGCTTTGAAACTCCTTCGGGTGGTGATAAAGCGGGATATCAAATCCAAACACTGCTGCTGCTTCTTCTAAGTCAGGATTCTGGACTAGACGGCCCTTTGTCCTGATCAAGCAGCACTTTTCTTATGTATTTAAAGCTGTGTGATACAACCCCAGTTTTGGTATCTTGCTTTAAGCGGAAGAGATCTGGTATGCCCCCAAGATGTGCAGTGAATACCACACATGAAGCCTCTCCCTATTCTCACACAGGGTTGAGGTTGAAAGCTCCCATCTTCCACCAGTCAGGTGCATTGCTTTTTTCACTTACATAGTTTGGACTTTTTCTTCTTCGTGGCTTCTTTAGTGGCATAGATACAAGTCAGCAACAGAGCTGAAACAGAGCAAGTCGGACAATGTGAGGGAAGCAGACATTTGCAGCATCAGTTTGCATGACATTGAATGTTTTCTGGAATGTACAGTGCAGTCCTATGCATGTGTACTCAGAGATAAGCATCCCTTAGTTCCATGCTGCTTACTCCCAGGTTGTGTGCTTATAATGGGTAGCCAACATGATGTCCTCCAGAAATCCTTGAACCCCAACTTCCATCAGTCCTAGGCACTGCAGCCAAAATTCAGGGGTGAGAGGAGTTGCAGTCCCATCATTCCAATAACCCTGGTGTATAGGACTTCAGCCTCCTATTGTTTATACCAGTTTTAAAATTCTCCAAATGAAACATCAGTACTGTTATAATCTACCTTTGCTACTCCAAACCTTGTATATCAATTATCTTAGATTTTAAACCCTTTTGAAGGCAGTGGCTCATCTGTCTTTTCTGATGGAATTGGTGTAACCTATCCTGAATCTGTGGGATAGGGTGGGCTATATATAAGCAAGCAAGCAAACAAACAAAGCAGAGATGGTAAAATATTAAAGTATGCCCCTTATTTGGTTACTTACCAAATATTGTTGCAATTGTTGTTCTTGACTTCATGATGAGAGTCTTGGAATTTTAATCAGGTTCACTGTAAAGTAAAAAAAAAAAATCCAATAGTGCCTCACTTAGTTTAAAAATCTCATTTTCTTACCATTCATCTGTGGTTTGGTTTATCATTGTTTGAGTAGATTAAGGTTATCTTGAAGTCCTTTCAGAGTACCCTAGCTCCTTCCAATGTACTTATTTATTTTTAAAACTGACACATTTATCAGAGGGACGTGGTTTTTTAAATTATTTTTCATTGAATGGCTATGTTACATGCTGTTTTTTAAACATAATGTTTTCTTTTTGTTGGATTTAAAGACTAAATAATAGTAGCAGCAGCATCAACATTCTAAGGTTGAAGTCAGTGGTGAATGCTTTTTGGAAGGACATAGGCGTGGGAGAAACACAACCAGTCTGCAATTCTATCTAGAGAACCATACAACCAATCCAAAACCTTGTGTAGATAAATCCTGGGACCCAACAAAAAGGCATTTTTTACCTCCTTACTTGCTTCATGTTGCTTCTATCACACCAGAGTATCAGTATTGGCACCCAAACAGCAAGCATACCTTGTAGAAGAGAGGCTTTTGTGGAGATTTTGACTTATTGTAGCTGATTTGGGGCACTCTGAAGATGTGTGACAGGACAGGAGTTCTGATTCATAGCACCGATGACCCACAAGCCCATTTAGCTGAAACTGCCCTAAAACCTGGAAAGGTGGTCACTTTGAACACACTGATCACATAATCAGATATCTCTTTGAAAAGAGTTTTTATTTTTAAAGCAACCGTCTTTTCCTTCTTTTGAAGAATAATATTGGGAAAGTTTTAACATTTTAAAGAAAATAGATGTTTTGAAACCACACCTAAGCCACAGAATGTCTTCCTTTTAAATTATGTTATTGATAGTCTGACTTTTAGAATGCCCTTTGAAGGAGCTGGAAGATTAAAGAGCTTCTACCAGTGGATTGTTTAATCTCACAAGCAGTTTGACCATGGCTAATCTTATGTTTTTAAATGGAAGTGCTGGTTTTCAGTATTTGATTTCCACCTGTGGATTACATGTGCAAACAGAAATTCTTTATGGGCATGATGTGATTATCTTGGGCAATGTAAGCGGTTTATTGTCACTAATCTTCAGGAGTAAGTTTGCCCGGTCTTTTCTACAGATGCAGATGTTTTCCTTCTCTCTCTCTCTCTCTCTCTCTCTCTCTCTCTCTCTCTCTCTCTCGACTGGTGAAAAAGCTGCTTCAGTAATAGCATAATAAATAGCAGGGGACTATGGTCATTTTAAAAATAGTTGGAGGAAGTGGCTTATTGGAACATTCTCAGCTTTGCATGCAGGGCTGGAAGTCAAATATAGTTTTATATGGGATTCAGAGAGTGCCTAGTATGGGAATAGGTGAATGAGAGGTAGATTGACATGTTTTGATTACAGCAGACCTGCACAGCTAGTGATACAGCCGCAACTTCCTCACTGTAGTCTGCCAGGCGCTTGATAATTCCTGTTTTTGCAGTCCCAAGAGGTTTGCCAAGCATGAATGATTGGCTGCAGTCGGTTTAGAGGGTCACAAGATGTGATATTGGAGCCTTTATACCTGTGTGGGTCTTATATGGCTTAGGCAGAACAAAATGTGCAAACATTTAAGATGAGCAGTTTCCTTTAGTTGGAACTATACTAAATGGTGCTGAAACAGTACAATAAAGGAAAAGCCCACCAAGACAGAGGAGATTTGTTTAACACTTGAACAAGACAAAAGTCCCTCTGATTCCAAAAAGGAAAATTAGGCAATTATGCAGTGGCGTAGCGTGGGTTGTCAGCACCCGGGGCAAGGCAAGTAATTTGCGTCCCCTAATCTGTGGATTTGCGCCCCCTAACCTGTGGATTTGCCCTAACCCCAGATGTTGCGCCCGGTGCGGCCGGCCCCCCCCTGCACCCCCCACGCTACGCCACTGCAATTATGGCTAGCAAACTATACAGCCTGCCAGTCCCAGCATCTTTCTAGAAAAGACAAATGGTTAAATGATTAGGGCGGCCATTGAGTCTATGGCATGGGGGCATTTACTACTGTTGAGTGCTGTTGTGACAATGGACCCCTTTGCTGGTACAAGTAAATAAGTCACTCTTTTGGATCCCATTTCTCAGTGCTGTGGCTTACATGGCCAGACCGTTGGGCATAATCTCATATGACACCTTAGAGACTCAATGGTTGATTTGGCATGCGTTTTTGTAGGCTCAGAGAGCCAAGAAATTATCAGGATTGTTGATTCAGTTACAGCTTGGCCAGAGAAGGTGGCTTAGTGTGTCAAATTTCATAGCCTATAAAACTGGAATGGCAAAAGAAAATACACCATTCAAGCAAGGTGTGAGTTTTCAGCTGAACTTTCAGTTGCATGGGTTGAAAGTGTGCAGCTGCAGAATAATTAGTTGGTCCATTAAAAAGGTATACATTTGCCTGCTGTATAGATCCCATTTTGGGGGACCTGCATGGCTATAAACAACTCGATCGCCTTCCTCTTAGAAGTTAGTCCTACGCATCTGCTTCCAAGGTAGAGAAAAGCAGTTGCCAGACGTAGTTTTGTATCTGTGAATATAAGCAGAGCTCAGCCTGGTAGCTCTATAAAAGAAGAAAAGACTGGAACAAAGTAGAACGCACACATATCACTAGTAAATATTAAGCATTAGTATAGCAAGCTTGCATTTTGCAAGCAAGGATTGCATGCTGCTGGCTACTACTTGGAGGTGCTCCCTAAATTCAAGTTGTAGGGTTGCTAAAGCTTCTTGCTTTAGCCAGTACTGCCCTCTATCGTAAGGGCTGTCAGAAGACAGCCTTCTATTTGAAGGCATCCTCTGTTTCAGGCGTAGTCAGTGTGGTCCCTCCAGATGTTGTGGACTACAATTCCCATAAGTTGCACCAAGCATGACCAATAGCCAGGGATGATGGAGCTGTAGCCAAAAATATGAAGTTGGCTACCCTTAGATGAAACCTTTGCGTGACTATTGCTTGTGTGGTTGGTCTGTCCTTTGCCTTATCACACTGTTGAAAACTGCTAAATGACACCAGTATTCCATCCTTAATCTTGTTCCACTGACTGAAGCTGAATCGGCTCCAGCCTGGGCTGCACATGAAAGAGCCCTTGTTAAAGCACTGCCATGAAAGTGTCACAAACACTCATTCAGAGTGTCAGCTGTTTTCAAGCGTTGCCCTGAGCATGGGCTCTGCTATAGGATTTCATAGGAACACCTGACACTGAACTTATGGCTCTACATAGCAAAGTTCTAAATGGCGGAAATGTGAAATCTCCTTAGGATGATTAACTCCTCCTCCAGCCCCTGCAGCCATTCAGCTTCCATCCCAACTGGCCGACACCTGTGGAATGTTTATACTTTTATTCAAGCATCACTCACACACCTCCATTCATTATACACATCATAGGAACTTGCATGCTTCCAATAATTCTCGCCTAGGTAGTCAGGAGGGGAAGTGTACATTAATTCGAAGCAGTTAAATGGCTAGTCTGCCATGTGTTCAGAATGCAAAATCCATGAGGTTTTATTATTTGATTTTTTTGGGGGGGCCGTAATTTTCCTTTGATCCTGCAAACTACCTCACTACTCCTTTTCATTTGCATATAAAATATTTTAAGGTTGCTCTTGCAACTACCCTGTGTGGTATGATTCCCATTTTACAAATGGGGAACTGAGGCAGAGGGAGAATAATTGGCCTTGGGTCACTCTGCTTCCCCCAAGTATTCTAGGAATGAGAGACTGTGAGAACAGTGCTTAGAATACATGACTAGAGAGGTACACAACTACAGGTCCCAGAGTTTCATGGGAGAAGGAAGAATGATTAAACCAGTTAAAGAGCTGTCCAGGCCACAGTTCTGGGTTCTACATTCTAAGGACATTGACCAGCTGAAGAGGGAGGGGTGATTGGGATGGTAAAAGGATCTGGAAGTCACATCCTATGAGGAATGATTGAAGGAGTTGGGTATGTTTAGCCTGGGGAAAGAAAAGCTTAAGGGTAGCTGATGGCTGTCTTCAAATAACTGAAGGGCTGGAGCAGGCTCACTCTCTGTTGTTCCAAAGAGCAGGACTAATGGGTGGAAATTGCAGGGATGCAGCTTTCAACTGATTGTATCCGCTCTATGATACAGACATATCCAATGGATCCATTGCAAATGTACTGCTTTAACTTGAGGGCAACTCTAGCCCTACTCAGGGGTTTTTCTGCTCACAGGATGAGGGGGACTTCCCAGTAGTTCTGCCACTTCTCCCACATCCTAGTCCACAGTCCCACCACTGTCCAGGAAAATGCCTGTATTGGGGACCCTGTTGTATTATCCATTGTGATTTAGAACCATACACAATTTGGGCTCTACATTGCACAGGAAAACTCTCCAAATGCATTGGATTCCCCACTGCAGACCTGTTTGCCCTCCAGTTCGCAGAGGGTGGTAAGGCAAGGTGGTGGAAGTACAACAGAAGGGGTGGATCTCACTAACCCAGCCCCACTGCTCTGTCATGTGATTCTCGCCATGCAAGGGGAACACCTGTCTCGGGCTTCCGTTTTCATTGGCTGAAATCTAAAATGTCACATTTCTAACTGTTTTCGCTCAAAAGGCAGTATAGAAAGGCACCAAATACAGAAATGAATGTACAGTTATTAGATTGATCTCTGGCCATGAAAGAAAGCAAAGCCTTGTACTTGCATTGTACTTTTTTGCAACCTAGGAACGATTTTGCAGTGCCAGCTTTCCCCTGAAGGTACATACTTCGTCTATGGGAGCAAAGAATTCACGTCTAAGACTTTTTGCTCCGCGGAAAAAAAGAAAACACCCCAGGGTTGATTTTATGAATTTTTCTTACATGTCCGCACAGAGCTTGACATCCTTCTGAAGAGAAGGGCTTAAGAGCAGCATTTCATACAACTCTGTGTTGTTTATACAGTCTCCCCTCGGTAGAGCTAATCATACACTATAATTGTCTCTAACTGGCTGAAGCAAAATGATCTCTGTCTGGGTTCACCTGTTTTGTGCTATA